AAAAGATGATTTCATTTGCATATTGTCACCTGTTTTTGCCATTGAAAGTGCGACCCTTCGGAGCAAACTACTGCATGACATTTACCCAACAACTGAGATTGCAGGTCACCTACACAGTGGGCCTGCTGTGGTTCCTGTCCAAGGGCATCTGTGGATTGCTCAAGCGAAAAAGATGTCCCTGACATGCCAGCTACCTGTGTGCTCTGTATAGGTCACTGAAGACAAGGATTTGGAAGTGGTTTGTGTTGCAGCCACATGTGTTCATTAGCTGTTAACTCCTGCAGTGGGTGATGCAGTGGCTGAAGTTCCTATTCCAGACCAGGGGTGGGGCTGGTCCTTGAGGTAGGAGTTACCAAGGGGTCATGAGCTCTCAGGTGCTTGACTGGGATAGTAAATGCTGCTGGATTAGCAAATTAGACAGTGGGAAGTACACCTGCTGTATTTGGGTTTATTTGAAAAAAAAATTCTCTGTATAAAAAGTAAATCTGGCTTAAACACATACAAACAAATCAAAACAGTTCAGAGGCAAACTGAAACTTGTCTTTTCACTTTCTGCCATCACTGCATCTTTCAGTGCTTCATCCACATTGAAGATATTTCAGGGAGTCACCAGAAAAATCTCAAGTAAACATAGATAGAGGAGAAATTTGGAGTTATCTTTGACTTTTATGGACCTTTTTTATTAAAATGCTTAGAGCTGTAAATGTAGAAATAAGAAACTCATTTATCTTGACAAAAGTGCTGCCATAAACTATTCAGCACTCATAAAATAACCTTTTAAATTATTGTTTCTGCTGGTATCGATAAATTCATACAAAGTGCTTAAAGGTCAGGTATTGCCAGAAAAATGACTTTTCAGCTTGTTAATTAAAGGTTTATAAGAATGTGCACCAGCTTGCTCTTAGGACAAATTGGAAAAAAGGAAGGAGGAAAAAAAAAAAAGGCCCACACAGATGAAAATGATAGTGTGGAATTGGTGAGTGACAAGTCTCACCATGGCAAGCCTGGACAGTTTGAGTGAAAATAGGTGGCACTGTTAGCAGGAGGAAAAAGTTTATTTCCCTTTGTGTGTGTCAGGGGGAGGTACCTTGATTGCTCACCTCTAGCAGCCCATAGGCTTGAGCTGAGGACCCAGCTAGAACTGAAGTATTAAGGTGAGTGTGAGCAGTATTTGTCCTGTTATAGCTTTAGCCATGGGGGGTTTGTCCAGTGCTCATTGCCTGGCCAAGAACATCAGATAAGCGTGTTTAATTTTTTTTGTTTGCCAGGCAAGGAGTTTTATCTGCTTGTTTATTTACCACTTAAACTAGAGCAAAACAGTGCTCTGAAATGCACTGAAAAATATACCCAGAGCCAAACTGCTCAAACATCCCTTCTAACACCTGAACCTCCTTTACTGCAGAGACTGCAGCTGCGATTCCCTCTATTCTATGCTTCATGTCTTTCACTCGTCATCATGGAGATTGTTTAAATCTGACCTAAAAATTAGATGACTCACATGTGACTTTACATGGATGAGACACTGGAAGTCTGACTTGCATTTCCACCTGCACAAAAGTCTAGCCCTGACAACATTAATTTATGTCCGAGTTTTGATTTTTTTCATCACTAAAACGGAGACAATAATACTGACCTAGATGAAGTACCCTGAGAAAACAGATGGAATGTATTACAGGGGTTTCTGTCACTGAATTCTGCTCATGCAACAACTTGAACTATTTATTGCCCAAACTGGGAAACAGTAACAAAACAATGTAAAAAATGAAATGTCAAATAGATTGTTATATATCTCTCTATCTTAAGATACTATAGTGCTATCATTAATACGAGATTAAAGTTTTGAATTTTCCCTTGGCTGTATGATTTTTATACTGAGATTGTTTCCTTGAATATTAAGCAACAGTTCCTTACTATAAAACCATTTGTAAACAAGAGGCTGGATCTTTGTCACCGAAAATTTCGTAACAATGCCATAATTTGTTTTAGTTCTCTCGAGATGGCTGCAGAACTCCTACTTCAGGAAAGTGAATCTCATGGATTTTTTTGAGAGTGCAGATGACAGAACTAATGATAGTTCAGTTCTCTGATACCTTCAGCCAGTTACATCCTGGCTTTGTCTTCAAGTGAGCTGAAGAGAACAGTGCAGAGCAGTTTATGGTATTTCTTGTTCTTCCTTTCCCGTTCCTTTTGGCTCAAATGTTCAGTGTTTCGAAACATAAACTAGAATTGGCCCAGCTATGCACCTGGAGGCTGAGATGAGCACCTTCCTTACAGGTCAGAGGCATTCTATTCTAGGCAGAAATGGTTTGTTATTTTTCCTTGTGATTGATATTTGAAGTAGTATCAGAAAATATATTTGTTGCTTAGGCATGGAGATTTTGTGCGTCCTATTAATTTGATTCGTATCTTTATAGTCAATTCCCAATTTCAGTCAGTGTTGGTACTTATTTTAATATGTGGCATTCTGTTGGCCAGTTTGAAAATCCTTGCAAATCCACATGTATCTGTAGGAATAGGAATATCAGAATGTGTGTTTTCAAGGTCAGAGGTAGCATATGTATAGAACTGATGACAGATGCAGCCACACTTTCTTTAAGCACATCCTTCCAGAAGGAAGAACTTCTTGGTTTAGCTTTCTAGAGGGGATATATGTGCTGCCCAGGATATGTGGTGCTCCTGGTGTTTCCAGGGAAAGCTCAGACTTCACTATATTGCGAAAAAAATCTCATTCTATTTATAAACAGTGTTGGTATGGAAAGAAAATATAGATCGTACTTGTGATAAACTTTGAGTTCCTCTAATGTGGGTTGGAAAACTCATTTTGGTATTCACCTTAAAAAGCAAAATGACTTGCCTGAATTAATTTTAGTTCATACTAATATAAAGCAGGAAGTTTTATTTTGTCTAATAAGTGGCAACAGCAACATGTGGCAGCTCAAGTTCTCCTTCTCTCCAGACTGCAGAAATTCATCATGTTGTCCTCAGTATGTGAGACTGTGATATGGTAGGCAGGGCAAAGGAGTCATTCATTCAGATAGTTTATAAGTATCCTTCCCATGTGTCATTTTATAGCCATAACTGTGGTGGAAATACCCCCTACTCTTCCTCACTCTGCTACCAATACCTTGAGTTCTGCAGGAGGGTATAAATTCCTTATTCTGGCATCCAGGGGTAGAAATCCTTCACCCTCCACAACTCTGCCCTTGACTCAAGACAGAATTTTAATGGGAAGTGTTTTTTCCATGGATAATCCAGGGTACTGATAATTCACGAGTACATGTTTATAGCTGTACATCCCTCCTTGTTGTTTAACTCAGGCAAATCTTATGCAAATTTTAATCTTTGTTGAATATATAACATCACACCCCCAAATGTCTCCAAGAGGAGTAGCAGAGTCTAAAAATAAAAGCTCTGTGGGACAAGTATATTAAAAATATTCTGTGTGAAAATACGTGGTATTCTTATCAAACACTGTGGTTAGAATGAAATAGTTTTACCACTCAGTTACTGAGGTTTGAGGAGAACAAATTGGCAAGGACCTGACACAGTTTTACTTTCCTTGAGCTGATTACCTGATAGTTTCCTTTTTATTGACAAATTTCATTACCAGATTGGGGTAATATTAACATATTTTTTCTTTGAAGGAAGTTAAATTTAGAGAAATTCAGTTGAATATGTTTTTCTTTCCTTATTATCCATTTCTAGCAGCCTGATAAGTTTTTGTAATCAGTGACTAAGTGTCTCTTGCTGTTATGCTGACAGTCATCTGCTTGCTTATATTGCCATGTCATCCCAACAGCGATTAAAAAACATTAGATAGAAGTTATAAAGCCTTATTTTAAGGATATTGGCCAATTAACCAAAATATGAACTGTACTCAGGAGTGAAGGAATGAAAGAGGCTGAAGGGGAAAAGTTAGCAATGTTCTTTAGACCTATGGCCCAATCTTAAATTTAAAGCTGTCTTTACTTTTTTATGGAGAAAATAAAGGATGTTATTTAGAATATCTCAGATCCGGTATTTTAGGATCCACTGTGGGTGAGGCTTGAAAAAGAGGTGCCATTCAGACCATCTATAACAGAACTTGTATATATACATTTATAGATATCTCTATCAGTATAGATGGAGGAAAAGTCTGAAAAAGATTGAGACTAAAGAGACACAGAGATTTTGGGGGCTAGAGACTTGTATGTTCTTGCCTCTGTATTACAAATCCATATCTTTCTTACTCTAGGTATCTAACTGTATTCATAAGGGTTAAAGATACTACTCAGTTACATCTTTTCTTCATCTACAAAGTAAGCTTTATGTAAAATACAGCAATATATTTACATATAGAAGGAGCTACCTCAAATATTTTAAATGAGCTTTGAATAAAATTGGTATACAACTGAGAGAAGGGTGAGTAGAGAAAATAAACGTCAATAGTAATAGCTCCTGTGTTGGTCCGAATGGATGTAATCGTACCTGAATGTTATGTTAGTGTGCTGTAGTAGATTTATAGGTAGCTTTCAGTTTTAATAATTCATTATTTACTATGTACTAAGACACAGTGAACTCATCTTGTGACCCTGGCTATCATGAAATGCATCATCTTACCAATGCACATTTTGCAGTTTCACCTTTCTTCAGCTCTCTTTTTAAAACAAGCTAGTGCCTAGACAGCCTTCAGCCGTGGCACCACACTTATATTTTCTTTGTGTATCAAAAAAACTTCACAACAATAAGTTGTATCCTGCGCACTCAGAATTATAAAATGCTCTAAGGAGACAATAGGCTTTAGTTAACAATACTTTGTAGAGCTGGTTAAAGAGAAGGAAGAGTCTCTGACTCTTTGGATAGGAGAGAGCTTTGACTCTCCGGTCTATTATACCTCTCTGTCATGAGTCGGGAAGAGACAAACAAAGAGCTGGAAGAGGAACTGCTGGTTTGGACAGATTCTATCTGGGGAAGTTATGTAAGTGCTTTAACCTGTGTTCAACTGTTTTTTCTTCCAACAGAGTTTGGGAACTATCACTGCAGTGCCCATTAAGGTTCCTCAGGTCAGCTCCTTGCAGAGGTTGGCAGGACAAGGACCAGCAGTGCTACCTCAGGTACAAAATAAAGTTCCAAAGGGGATTTTGTGTCATTTTCTATGTATTCTACTCTATTGCTGTGTGTTTTTAGGTCAGCACACTCATTTGCTGAATAAAGACTCTCCCTCAGTGAGTAGAACAGCAGAATTGGGGTTTTCTCCAATTAGTGAAAAAAACCCAGATAAATCCGTTTTCTTCTGTGGCCATACTGTTAGGACAATGAAAAGTGATAAAAAAAACTTGTAGGTTCTTTGTGGAAGAACAAAGTACATACTGTGAAGTGTAAATAATTTGTACTTTGTGAGATGAATCACAAATCACAGAAGTGAAAATCTGCAATTCTGTAATTAACAAAAGTGGTGGAAGTATTAGCCTTTCTGTTGAAGTTCTAGCCTCAAACATTCTTTTACAAATTTACTTGCCTTATCCCTGTGTGTCCTGGTGTAAAGTTTTGGCACAACTAACCCAGGTGCCAGACTGAGGCAAGATTGGCTGGGTAGGAATGAAAGGAGAGTTACACTCACAGATTTTGCAAGTTGTTTCAAACTGTGTTTTCTTTTCTGAAGATCCATCAGATATTTGTCTAACCACACATTTTATTGTCCATTTCAACCCTCTTTCTCAAAAATTTTGGATGTAATTTTCAGCGAGTGTTTTACTGCAGTTCTGTGCTTTGCTTTTTAGATTAATAATTATCAAGTGTAATTATATTTCTCTCTGTGTGACTATTAAACGTCTTTTTCTTGTGTGTGAACAATTTTCTAGCACTGAAGTCAACGCTGGGTCTTCCTATTGTTCTGTTATTTTTTCCTAGTATTTTCTTAGTGGCAGAATCTAGTAGAAGATCTGTGAGTAAGTCTGCCTGGAGGAAGGAGTATTTCCGAGATAAAGTTCTTATATTCTCTCTTTAAATTACATTTTGTGGAAGGCAAAGTTGTGAACATAAAGGAAGGTTATAGTTTTCTTATCAAGTTTAAGACTTGGCTTTTCAGTTGTTCTTACAGCGTAATGACACATTGATTTCTGCCATTTTGGGGTGTCAAAGATGAGCAGATTGCTCCTGAAAATAGATGAGGTTCAAGAGCAGCAGAAAGACCTGTAACAGAGGTTTAAATTATCATTAAGGTTATGTTTCAGCAATGATGATGGCATTGCAAATGCTACACTTTAGAGAAGCATCGATGTTCTATACTTTTTGTTAAGCAGAAAAAAATTCACTCCCTGTTAGATTCATTTCTGAAGAATTGGAAAAAAGTGGAAGAAACTAATTTCAGCTTTTTGAAGAGAACACATATTCTTTCTGTCTTGCTGTTTAACTCATGGCGATATTTTTTGTCTGTATTTCACTTTGTTTCACTCCTTTCCTAGCACAGCCTTCAATTTCAGACCTGTTTATGCAATCATACCTAATAGTAACGAAATGGAAACTCTTCCTCAGCAGCCCTAAGCTATAGTTCACTAAATTTTCTATTTCATATAGATAGCATGGGAAATAATCACATACCAGTCTCATTTCTGTCAAAACTAAAAATTAAGTAGGCAGTTGTATGTAAGACCACACTATCAGAGGTACATCTTATGTTCTGAGTTTTTTCTGGCTTTTTCACAGGCCGGTACCTCCTTATTCAGCAAAAGCCTGTCCCATTTACAGGCTGTCTCCTCCTTTGCAGTTCGTCATGGTCTATACGTTTCTCTCCCACTCAAAGCTTATGGAGGAATTTAACATTTCCGTATTGTTTTCTAGTGGGGGACTCCCTGCACCCATCAAAGCATTCTGCTTGAGATCTTCAGAGAGATCATGTTTTCACCTGCAAGTGGAAAGCCTCGCTGCTTCCAAATGTATTTAATGTAGCCATGCATCAGAGTGATGTAAAGCTGCCATTCCTCAGATACAGCTGGAGACAGGTGATCTGGGAGGCCGCTGTAAGTGATCTGCAGCACTGTATCACTATGAAAGCTCTCCTTTTTTAATAACTGTAAGTGAGTGCACAGCCATTGCTGGCAAATTTTGAGGGCCAATAGGAATCCGTGGTCCAAGAGAACTGGAAACTTCAGATGGAAATATAAAAATGCCAGGAAGCAAGGCCATGTAATACCACAAAGGTATTATGGTAAATGTCCCTCATATCTCTCAGAAAACAAGCACCAAGTTAAAAAATACTTTGGAAATGAAGGGGCTTATATTATCCTCTAGTAGAAGCTTGAAAATGAACTGAATTAAATCTATGTCCTCTCAGCCATTATGTATAAAACCTGGTTACAGAGTAGGCAGGCTACTAACTTCCTTTTGTCCCCCATGGGCGACAGGCACGGCTCCTGTACCTTGCTCTGAGTTCAGGGCACAATCAGTCCATTCTAGGACTGACTTTCTGAGAGACGGCTTTGCACCATCTCCCAAGCACACTAACAAGCAGGGGCCAATTGAGTTTCTCATCTGCTAAAACCTTTACTTTGAGCCACCATGTAGTAGCAAATCAAAGCGGCAGATCTTTCAAAACAAAACAGTGTGCATCACTCCTCTACCAAGAAGTCCATAGTTATTCAGACAAAGAATTAAAGCACTACAATGTCCATACTCATATGTGTTAGCTATAGATGAAGCCTGTTTTGCAAGGTTTGCCACCGTGGGATTGATTCAGCTCAGTGTCAGCATTCTTGACAACACACTCATTGCTACCTGGCTTTTCTCCTTTTGGCCAGTCTTATAATTTCTTTGGGATTTCAGACTCCCTTTAGGTTTAGATGTAGTCAGGAGGGGCATAAACATTGCCAGACTGGCTGGAAAGAAACAGAGAAGGGCCCTTCATCACATGAAGGAGTTTTATATTTTTGATGCTTTTGTTCTCATCTAGACAGCCTTTTTGATTTATCTCTATGCATTCAAGCAGGAAAATACCACACAAGTAAACTAAGGCACTTAACAATACTTATGTAAAATAATACATACAGATTTCTCCTATTCCACATTTGTACGGATGCTTGTCATTTGTTTTGTTCATTTGTTTTGTTTATTTGAATGGGTTTATGATATGACCCCCTGGGAGCTCTTCCATATGGGGAATGAAGTTTCGAAGTCTTCACATTCACAAATCCCATCACTTAGTGCAGAACTGCTATTAAATGGTGAGCAAACAAACATTAATTAGAAGTTCATTGCACAAGACAAACAATATTTCTTTAGGCATTTATTATTTGCCAAAACAAGCCTCTCTGGCAGAACTTTTTTCTTTTTTTTTTAAAAAAAAATTTTAATTTTTTTTATAGAATATGGAGTTAATTTTGCTTTCACCAAATAAATAAAATTCTGCTATGAGCTGTGATGTTTGGGAAGCTAATTCCAGATAGTCTTTCTCTTGTCACTTTGGCTTTTGTGGTTTCAGCTGGATGAGATGTTCTATAACTGCAGACTCTCCACTGCACTGTGAGAAGCAAATCCTCTAGTCAGACACATGGGTGATGCATTCTCTTACTCTTGGGTTGTTCCTCTGCTTTCTAGCACCCATCAGCTGTAAGGAGGGGGTGACCTTATGTCAAGTTGGGGCTCCAATTTCCAGCTGTCTAATTTGACTTAGTTTAAACAAAGACTTAAGCCACCTGAAGGCAAGTGGGAAATCTTACCTTCTTCAGATGGAAGATTTTAAATGGAACAGTGAAGATATTTAAATAAACTTCCCGTTTTGTTGTCACTAATTTGGGCCAAATCCATTTCTCGTTCAAATTAATGGAGAGACTGTGGTGATTTCAATAGTGGTTAAATCAGATTACAGTGCTATTTCCCTGACCTATTTTTCCAGTCCTGGTTGAAGGCAGGGCTTGGGATGGCTTTGCTCTTGACACTGCTGATTAGAGTAGAGCAGAGAGCCGAGTGGCAGATGCCTGCAGTGGAGCTATCACACAGGTTAGTAGTAAAAAGAAACAAGTATGTACAATGTAAAATGTGTGTGTTTTTCAGTCGACTTCAGGCAGTTCTGCTGTCAAGTGCTGCTTATTTTTTATCTTCTGTAGTGATTTTAATATGCATAATTTAGTGTGGTCTGAATTCAGTGACTGGGCTGCAGGCTGCTTTGGAACAGGGACTGTTTCTCTGAGATGCGCGATTGTTCATCATTGGGTACCATGTAGGCCCAGCCAGAGACTGTGATCTCTACATGTTCCCATAACTTAATGCTTGTTCTCATATTTTAAATTTCTCGTCATAGTTCTCAGGAGCGCAGTTCCACTGATTGTTGCTTCTCCTCACGTGTGTGCCAAAACTAACCCCTTCTCCTGGCTTCCCCAGTGACTGGGGCTTCCGGAGGATTTCTTGAAAGGAAAATAACTCCTGTAGACAGAACTCAAGTTGTGTGATGTGACTGTGTACTGGAGAAGAAATGTGTTAACAGATTGGTCTCTGGCAAAACCGTGTGCTGTTTGCATCTGAAGTCAAAAAAAATCAAATCAGTATTTTTAAGTGTAATATGTTAAGACGGTGCATAACCATTAGAAAGTGGAAAATTAAATGCAAGTCAAGACGTTTGTGAAACTGGAAGAGGAGCTAGCACATATACGTGTTTGTGTACAGAGTTACACAGAATTGCACAATCGAGAGACAGGAGCACTTATTGCTTGTTTGACTAAGGAATAATTGAATAGGGCAAAGTTGTTATTACAATATCAGAGGAGAAAAGGACTATAATCCCCTAAGGGGTGTCATGCTCCTTTCTGGTATATAACCCTCAGTACTTCCAGGGGCGTGTGTTGGAATGCTAGCTGAGAAGAAGAGAAATAATCTAATTCAAGGTAACTTAATCAGCGTGGTATATAGCCAAGCTAAGGGTTTTGCAACAGTATTTAATATTCATTGACTGTATGCGTGCAGAAAACAGAAGCAAAATTGCTTTCTCGAAAGAAAGGTTTGCAGAGCCCTGGCTGAAAATGTAGTCCTTAATAAAGGTAGTTGTTAATGTGTTTTATTCTATATAAGCTTTTATACTGTGCTTGTCACTGTATTTGAAGCACCTTCCTGTAATGTGTTAAGC